TGATGCCACTGTATGCCAGGAACATGACATGCACTGTATACACCCTATCCCACTTGCATTGTATATAACCTATCCCACTAGACTGAAAGTTTCAGCGAGGCAGAAAAAGTTCTTATATCCCAGTACCTAGGTGTAGTGGACACAGACACTGCCCATTCTTCTTTCGGCATTCACCAGTCCCATATATCCCAATGGGTTTTGACTACAGAGTAGGTCAGAAGTCCCAGGGAGTTCATGCTTCCACAGTGACCATCAGTGATAGATGGCACTTGGTGGGTAAACACTGGTTTTCTCACCCTCAGGTGAGATAATTCTGAGACATATCCTATGCTGTCTCCAGAGGACAGTATCTGAAGCAAGAAATTCTATGACTGGCTAACTCCATGACTGAAGGCTGGGGCTCCATCTTGGAGTCCTCAACACAATTCTCAGCTGTGTTCGTAACAGATTATTTCCCTTTGGCTGCTTACTCAGGAAGCCTTGAGGACCAACTGTCTAGGGTAGCATGTGTCTTGACAGGGAAGTGCCAGGTAAATCACAGGTCTACAAAACTTTCTGGATCAGCAAACCCTTCATGCGTTTGTGACATGACAGCTTGCCACAGGATGCTCTACTGGGGGGCTGGTGGGTAGAGAAACGTAAGCCATGTTCATTTCCACTAACACTAAAGTTCCCACAGATCCAGGTAAAATACAGATTAAGTGGCATCTCCCAATCATGATGCTAGAAACAATATTAAAAAGCTCATGAATTTGGGGTACCCAACAAACTCTGTAAATGCCTCTCACACTCACATGCTGATGATAGCTACTCAGCAGGAGCAGCTGTGGCCCTCAGATACTAAGGACAAAAGCTCTGATACTCAAAGACAGGTTCTAGGAGGGAAGCCTTCACCAAGTCACTTCACCTCCCCGAGTCTCAGCTGCTCCATTGTAAATGGGGATATCAGTATCTTTCTGCAGTTCTGTTTGTTTGTTTTGGTTTGTTTTGTTCACCCCTTGAGAGATAATTAAAAAGGGACCAACCTATAGGTGATGTCTTTTAAATGCCTGATAGACCTGAATCCTGAATAAAGGGACATAGAGGTAGCCTTCCTATTCTATTATGTTTTTTCTGACATAATACATAAAAGTTTCTTTTTACTCAAGCTATTAGAATACTCAGGCTGGTTTGTTCCCTCCCAGTGACACATCCCCCATCCCATCTCAGCCAGAAATCACATGGGGCTCTCCAAGGGAATTGCGGGCCTTTGATGAGGCCCTCAATAATTAATTGTGGAAGAACAAGGGAATCAACCCCAAAAGAGAAATAGAGTGCCTCAGATTGCAGGGGTGATAGCTTCTATTGCAGGGGTGATAGTGTCTATTGCAGGGATGATAGTTGCTGTACAAAGTGTATTTGGTAAATAAATGAGCCAAAGATGGCCTCTGTGCATTGACCTGTAGGTGGTGTATTTCTTCACTGCAGGCTGAGACTTTAGCTTAAAAGCCTGTTGGCACCAAACTCCCACATTTTTACACATCCAATTATTTTTAAAATAGCTTAAACAAGAAAATTTGCAGCTGTTTAGAACCTGCCTGCTTTGCATACTCCTTGAAACCTCATGCAACAGCTGTTACCCATTGAAAAGACAGGGCCTTGGAGTTATAAGGCCCCAAGGCACTGCTACCTCTAGAAGCTCTGGGACCCATGGACTCCCTGCTGTGCCACTGAGCAGATGTCACCTAGACTCATAAACCCCTCTCCAAGGCCCCTCTGCTTTGGGCATTCCCTTGTCCTCTTCTTTTTCTGGATGGCGGTCCCATAAGCCTCCCTCTGGACAGTCTCCTGCTGTGAGGGGCTTCCCTTCTCATAAAACCCTGTCCAAGTGTCTTGCAAAGAAGCGTATTGTGCCTTTAATCCTTCAAACTCTCTATAGTGCTCCATGGGCCAGCAGCATCACCTGAGACCTTGCTAGCAACAGAGCTTCTTGGGGCCCACTCCCAGACCTAAGTGAACCGAACTCTGAGTGCTAACAATATCACCACAGTCATTGCACGTTGCAGCTGAAGGTTCATGAGCAGATTGCTGGGCTGAGACTTTTGTTTGGGGATCAGTGTATTAACCAAGTACAATGCACTAAACGGACTCGTGTGATAAAGATGTCAACCTCCATCTGGACTGCTCTCAGCCCTTGTGAGTGTCCACATACTGACTTTATGGACCCTTTCTTGATTTTCTTATTAAGTCTATTCAGTAGACAGGTGTGAAGACTGCCAGGTATGACCCCCTTACACAAGGAATAGACTCTTTGCAGGAAACCATTATGCTGTGCTGGACAATGGCCACGGTCCAAACACATGAACACACAAAACACACACAAACACATACACACACACGAACACACAGACACACCCCTGCAGTAGGTGTGCAGATATATGACATAATACTCCCTCCCCATGCAAGCATATTCCACTCACACACACACACACTAAAAGCCCCCTGAGCTTCTATTCTGGGGACAAAGGCCCAGTGCTAGATCCTGAAAAGGCAACCAAAAGGAATCTTTAAAATTCCACCAAATCGAAAACAATGATCTCTTACAAAACACAGTTGGGGCAGGTGCTGAGAGGCACAGACAGGAGGAGCCAGGAACAAAAAAAGTGCAGTCACACAAAGGCACACTGATCCAGCGTGTGATTCTGAATGAGGCTTGCCACTCCCAGGAATGTCAAGGGGTAAGCCCGGGGACACCATACACAAGAGAACATCCTAATTATTAGCCAGAAAAGCCTGGAGTGAGACAAGTGTCATTTGCTTGTGACTTCTCTATTCGCATTTAGGAAGTTATATGTGGTTATAAACTCTCTATGTCTATCCAGCAGCCTTCCCTATCTAGGACCTTGAAGTGGATCAAAATTGGTTTTAAAAGAAAAGATACCGTTTACTCCATGCAATGAATTGTACGGAGTTTTAGGAAAGTGGCTCTGCTCCTTATTCAGTGCTTATTTATTCTTACTTTATAAACAGTTCTAAAAATCTATGAGGTTTGATTTCTCAGGCCAGAGCCTGTTTGGTGCCATCAGGCTTTTGAGCTAAAGTCTCAGCCTGCAGTGAAGAAGCATTTTCTCACTCTAAGAATTTCTCATTCTAAGCAATGACTTAGAGATAACACAGAATGGTAAGGAGCTAGGAGAAGCAGCAATTATAGCACCAGTGGTAATAAGAAGTAAAGAAATGCCTAGTAACAGCTAATCAGCAAAAACTAGAAAGTCATTATAAACTATTAAGAGTACCTATATAAACTCAAAAACATTTATGGCAGGGTCCTGGGCACTAGGAAGTGACATTACATAGTCCAATTATTTTCATAATAAATTCCTTGTCATCAATAATCATAATAAGTCAAATTACATTTGATTATGCTTAATATTTTCAGTTTAAGAAAGACACTATTACATTTTATAAATACTTCCATAAACAAAAGGATTTTAAAAACCTGTTAAGGTCTTGACACAGTTTAGTAGCTCCAACTTTGTAGAAAATACGTTAACATGGGATAACCTATCCTTACACCTGAACAGGTAAGTGTGACACTGCTTTACTAAATATATGACATTCTGATTTGCATGATATGGCAGCATTTGGAAGTCTCTACTAATTAAATCCACACCGTCAAAATATAAACTCAGTCAGAGTTAACTGGATATCTGCAATATGCCAAGCACTGTGTATTAGGTGCTAATAATATAAAAAATGAATAAGAAATGGGCCCTTTTCTTGAAGACAATTTAACTTAGGACTTCTTAAATGACTTCTCAATAATCAAGGTGGAGGGTGGTGCATTCTGTTCAGTAATAGGTTGAGTGGAAGCTGCATTTTATGAAAGCTAGATGCCTTGGAAAATGATCATAGATGAAAAAGGTAGAGATTCTCTAATATCCTGAACATTGGAATTGTTGTATTCACCAGGGGTCTCCAACCCAAAGAAAGGCACAAACAAAGCAATCTAAATTTTTTCTGATTTTTTTATCCATGTAGAATAAACAGAATATAAAATGTAATAACCTCCTTTGTGAGGGAGAGAGAATAAATGACATGAATCCACTTATCCCACACTTGCCTAATGTAAATTGTTGCCGGACTTGAGCAAATTGCAGAAATTTTGACTCCTCTTGTGCCCTACCTCTGCAGGGGTGCTGAGAATGAAAGAATGTGGTTGACCTGAACCTGCCACAGCACAGCTGGGTCCCCTTTCAGGGGCTGCACACACTGAGAGACAGCCTTGTTCCACACTCTCAGCAGAAGCAGCTGGGGTTAAATGGCTCAGCCTTCAGGAACCCTTCCCTCCCTGGAGCTTAAGGACATCCTCCTCCTGAAGGTGCTTGGTGGAAAGACTTTGTGAGTCTAAGACCTATGCATACACACCCACCCCCACTGCATTCTGGATGCGCAGAAACTTGGACTCACAGCAGCAGAAGCTTCAGCTAGAAGTATCCAAGAGAACAAGAAGAAACTGAAGCCCAGAAAGGCAAAGACCCTTCCCCCATCTGTAGCTCTCTAGATTAACTAACTTCTTAAAGATTTTAGCTGCTTTCTCCTTGGGAAGTTTGCATCAAAATTACAGTTTTTTTCCAAAGTGACTTTTTAAATCTTTCTCCCTATAAAGGTTCATCTTTTGACAAAGGAAAGAAGATGGGGAGAGAGGGAAAGATGAAATATAAGAAGGAAGGGAAGAAGGTAAAGAAAAGAAGGAGGAAACAAAGGGAGATAGAGAAGAAAGGACTAAAGTGAAGGAAGACAGGGAGGAGGTTGGGAGGGAGAAAGAAAGAACTACTGAGAAAAGTTCATACATTCAGCTTATTGTTTTTTTAGTCTTTGAAAATTATTAAAGAGACAGGCAGTGTCATTTCAACCTAGAGGAAATCCAAGTGGTAACATCCTGGGGCCCTGGTAGGTCCCTCTCCCATCCTTCCTGAAATAAACTAGGTCTTCTTCCCCGCCATCCCCCACCAGCTTACCTTCACTGAAGACAAAATCTGAGATAATGTCAAAAGGTTGGATGTGGACCGCAGAGAGGATCATGGTAACCATCTTCTGTGGATCGCTAGAGGCTAGTGAAATGGTTTGTTGAGCTTGACACTCATAGGACTTCCCAGCGGGGGTGACCAAGGCAGAGAGGTGGTGCGAGTTGGCTGTGTGCTTCCCAGCTACAGCAAGATCCCAAAGCAATAGTTAGGCCCCGCTTGCTGGCAGAACTCTCATTGTTCCTAACCTAATGTGCCAGAGAGGTGGTTGTTGCCTCTCAGTTTCAGACCCCACACCCCTCCTGTCCTCTCTGTTCCCTTGTAGGGCTAAGGGCTCTACAAATGGCATCAAGTGGTGATGAAAGACAAACACCTATTCTCTTGAGAGCCAGGGCTCTTTCAATATTAATTCATAATTGCTGTTTTGAAGAGGAGAGTGATACCTAAAAACTCAACCTTTGTTACTGAATAAAACCTAGGCCGGGCATGGTGGGTCCTGCCTGTAATGCCAGAACTTTCAGAGTTCAAGGTGGGACGATCATTTGAGCCCAAGATTTCTAGACCAGCCTGAGCAACATAGTGAGACCCCATCTCTACAAATACACACAAGAACACACACACACACATTACAAAATTAGTCTGGCATGGTGATGCAGGCCTGCATGTGGGGAAACTGGGGTGGGAGAATCTCTTGAACCCAGTAACTCACTCCAGGCTGCGGTGATCTATGATGGTGTCACTGCACTCCACCATGGGGACAGAGTGAGAACCCATTTCAAAAAAGAAAAAAAAAATCCCTAATGATAGATATTCCAAAGACACAGAAGGAACAGTGACTTGGTTTTCTATATTTTACACAGGCCTGACAAAGCCGGACAGATTGCTGGTCCACTGGATGCTTGTCCTTACACACATACATCCCCTCTGAAGGCCTGCGTCCCATTGCTCCTTTTCTGACCTAAGTTTGAGTTTTCCTTTTTCCTTTTTGGTCGAATTTAACTGGGGGACATCCTGCATGTAAACTTTGATGAAAAAGAAAAAATCCTCCTTTTACTGTGATGACAAAAAGGGGTGAAAAGGGAAAGATGACACATGCATTTTTATGTATTCATTAAAAATCCTTTCCCAACTCAGGTGCCTGGGTGATGAAAGGCCTCATTAAGAGTGAAGCAGACAACTTATAAAGAATAAAATAAATGTAAATGTGGTCTTTGATGGTTTCTGCAGATACGAATATTGTTATTTGGGGGATGAACGCTCCTTTTGCTGAGGAGGATCTGGGTAAGTTGTCAGAGGGATGGGCCAGAAACGCTAGTAAATTATACATGGTGCAGAGTCCACTCTCAGGTGGCTGCAGTCGATGACTGAATATCCCGTGCGAGCCACGCTGCCATGCGCAAAAAGACACTGAAGGCCGTCACATCCTGACCGAAAAGGAAAGTCGCACTGCCCCCTTGCAGTTTCAGCGCATAAGAAACAAAACCAGGGTGCGGAAGAAAATTAAAATGCAGCTTTGCCCTTCTCCGTGGTCCTTCAAAGGCCAAATCATAAGAGGTCGTTTTGAAGCACCAGGGAACGGCAGATCTTCAAGGGACTTCTCATCTAGGATCAGGCCACGGGTGACGTTTGGGTACCCATGCTTGTGGTTCCTGGCGGATCTACAAGGCCTGAGACCCAGAAGACTCATGGGCACTCCCGCCTCTTCCGCCCTAAAGAGCAAGCCGAGAAAGACTTGGCCTCGGAGCGCAAAGCCTGGAACGGTTTCCAAAACCCTGAGGAATTCTCTCTCCAAGTCTGCTCTGCGAGTTCCCAGGCTCCCTCCCCAGCCATGCCGGCCTCTACTCACCACTGACTGCGTCTTTGAAGTGGGTCTTCTCTGAGGAGTCGTAGACAAACTGCACTTTGCTCAGCCTCCAAGTCGCCTCAGGTCCCTTGGACGTGTTGTGGCTTTCCTGTTGAGCCAGGGAGGCGCGCTTCAATCGCCCCCGCAGCGTCTGGGTTCTTAAACCCGGGGCCCGCCACTTCCCACACCCACGCGCAGCCTGCGTCCCCTCTGCCCGCTGGGCTCGGAGTTACCTTTACAAAGAGCATTTTGAGTGCGTAGGCGCGATCCACCCAGAACACTTGCAGCTCCGACTCGCTGTGGCCACAGCGGCCCTTCACCTCAGCTCCCCGGGTCAGTGCGATATCAGCCTGTTCTGTGATCAGCTGGGAACACAGACGCCCCGCGCCCCCTCAGCTCGCCCGGCCCTGGGGCGGGGGCTGTAAAGGGCGGCGCGTCCAAACTCTGGGTTGCACGCTTGGGCGCTCCTTTGCGCGCGCGCATCCCAGGTTCCGGGAACATGCAGTTAGATGCTCTACGTGCAGCCCCGGCCGATAGGGAAGCGGAGAGAAGGGGGTTTACTTTCAAAGCAGGCAGGGGAGCAGAAGGCATTACAAGCTGGAATCCCCATGCAGCATTCGGGAGCAGCCTGCAGGGGTGTGGGGAAGAAGGCGGGCAACCCAGGTTTCCGAAGGGCCTTGAGGAAGGGTGCCCTTCGCCCTGGAGCCCTAGGAGGAAGCTGAGGGGGAAAAGATTCCTTACATCTACGTAATTGCTGGCCCACACATCATAAGGTACAATAAATTTGGCTGCAAACTCTGCCATGAGACACGTCGTCCCATTTTCCCGCACCACAAATATATCTTTTTCAGGGTTAGTGGAAAGGCCTGAGAGATTTTCCACTTCTTGTTCTGCCATGATTTGAGCCATTGTATCTGCGGAACAAACAAAACAATTCCATCAGTTCAGGACTCAGAGAGCCCACGCGCCTCGGGCGCTAGGGTGGGGAAACAATGGTCTGCAGGCTTTGGAGGGACAAAGTTCTCTGCCAGCAGCTGTGCGCTCTACGAGCCGTTTCTCTAGCCCGGGTCTAACAAGCTTCATTCCTTCCCTGTTAATTAATAATGAAAATACGATTTTAAAAATAATTTAAAAATCATGACTTTGTTTGTAATATAGCTGACCGTTTTCTACATCTTGGGATTTTAAACTAAGTATTTCTTGCCAATGCTCTGACTTCACGAAGCTGGCCTGTTTAGGCTGTCTGCAATTTGCCACACAGGTGTATGGCTCTCACGGGAATTCCCTGCCACCTGCGGGGGAGGCCCTGCCTCCTCCCCTAAAAGAAAAAAAAAAAAACCAGCAAAACATTAAGGACCATATTTTTTTATCTTAAGCTAATTGGCTTCACTTTGCCGGCTCTGTTCTCTGCAAGAGTGCATCCCGTCCTCTCCCCGTCGCCAAATCGCTACTCACGGAACAACATCAGGAGAACTCGAAGTCTGTCGACGCTGGGGACCGCTCTTCCTTGGAGATCCATACTCGCAGTGCAGCGAATGAGGCCAGCTGTGCTACTGCAGAGGCCGCCCGAGAGGGAATCCCTCAAAGTCGCCGCTGGAGTGGGCCGGGGTGAGCGAGGGGCGGGGGACAGAGAAGGAGGAGGGAGGGAGCGCGTATTCTGTGAGCGCTGGCTAGGACTCCGTGTGGAGTGCGGCACCGACAGCTGCTGGCAGAGCAAATCAGCTTACTGCAGAGGAAAGGACCGCGCGGCGAGGGAGCTGTCCACGGCTGCGAGTGCTGAAAGCAATCCGATAGTGTGGCAGGAGTGGCTGTGGCTTGGCTTGTGCGGAGGGCCAATGAGATTTGGGGGTACCTAAAATTCTCCCTGGTTCTGTTTCCTGTTCTGCAATTGCATCCGCAAATATGCGTCTGTTCTGAGAAACTTAACACCACCCTCAGACTTCTTAAATCTCCTTATCAGGTACAGTTATTACATGGTGTAGATACCATACCACTGGAGTACTGTCTTCTGAAAAGGCATCTGGTTCCTGGAAGAAAACGGTGGAGCAAAAATTGTTGCTGCTTTGAGGGAGGAGGGCTATGTAGGAATAGAGAAGAGAAAATGCTATGGCAACAGTTTCCTGAATTTGGAGACATCCCTTTCTCTCCCTTGATCTCAATGAGCTCACGGGTTTAAAGTAAAATTGACGCCTCCTCAAACAAAGCCATCAGACAATGCAGTAGCTCCATGTGGGCTTATTTTCCTGTAAATTTTGCTCCCGGGAGCATGAGGACTCTGAACTCTGGGATCACCTATCCTCTTGCATTATACCGTGACCACTCTGCCAAGAAGGGATGCAAGCAAATCAGAAGTTTTTGAGAGTTATCCATTATCTCTTAGGACAGAAATTTTAGAATTATGCCCTAAATAATGTCACATACTTATGTAAGAAAAACACACACTGTTACTACTCTAAAGCCTCTAGTGGAACAGAAAAACAAATATTACTGGGCTAATTCCTATATTTACATATTTGGTAGCTTGCTTATTTTTTATTTTTGCTCTATAAATCAGAATACAGCTTTCAAAAATACACATGCAGTATGCAGTCCTCATCAATTGTAGTGATGTCCAAATATTTTATTCCTTAGAAGATATTTCACGATGCAAATAAATGTTGTATCAGTAATATAATGTTATAAAACAATGTCATATCAAAGGGAAAATTGCAAAGTATTTCACCTGCATTATCTAATTTGATTCTCTCCAATCTTAGAAGGTAGGCAAGGAAAGATACAAGTTACTGTGGTTTTACATACCCCAAAACTGAGGCTCAACTAAACTAAATGACCTTCCCAAATGTCACATGGTCAGTTAGAATTAAAATACAAAAATCACATGCTTTAACTCTGTAAAGATTATCTTCATTTCTCCTTACATAATATTTTTACTCCATATTTTGATTTCCATAAAAATCTTTATTCAATATCAAATAATAATCTGAAACCTGAAATCTCTATCATTAATTCACATTCTTGAAATTTATAGAATGCTGTTTTAAATATAATCACATTCTGACATATCTGCCACAAAGTATCTATATAATGCTTTGGCTTTCAAACATATTCCTATATCAATCATTAGATCACTAGCAATTCAAATTATAAAGTAATATTAAAATTGATACTATATTTTGACATTTTGACTTTCGTGTTTATATTTCAGTGTTTCATCCAAAGATTTCTCAAGAGCTTTACAAAGATGATTATATATAGAAGAATTGGTACAAATTTTACAGGAGAACTTAACAGAAATGATTTTATACAGAAGATTGATATAAGGTCAATTCTTACCAGTTGAAAGTGGAAGATATAACATTTGTATGTGTTACATTTTTTCATGTTGGCAATTATTATTAATCACTTATTTTCCTGCAGTAATGGAAAACTGGAAAACAATGAGACATGTAATGAAGTATTTATTATCTCTCTCTCTCTCCCCAGTATTTTATGAGGACAGAAATTAGTAGATTTCAGTTCAGGATTCACTACTTATTACTTTTGTGATCTTCTGAAGATTTTATTTTTTCTCACCTGTAAAATTGGTACAATAACTCAGAGGATGGCTAGTTAGACCAAATGGGCCAATGAATATAAAAGCATTCTAAACAAATTACAAATAGACCCATAAACATTAACTGAATATGTACTACTTGCAGTATGCTTGATGTTTTGAAAACCAAAAGATATTTATCATTACACAAGTAGGAGAGATACCTATAAGAGATTATGACAATTTCTTTTGTGACATGTTATTGCAGATATCTTCATTACATAAGTTGCTAAAAGATCAAATGAATTAATTATCATCTGCCTTAATGATAAAAGATTAAATGAGTAGTAGCATTGGTCATTGATCTTAAAATGTTGTAGTTGATTTACAGATCAGATTGTTGTTCCTTTGAAAATTATACCTGATATAAATGATCTCTTCATTGACACTGGAGAGTGTACCCTAGAGTACTCAAATGAGTTGAAAAAAGAAAGGAAGCAATTTTAACCCTTTTTTGGGGGAGGATTATTTTCAAAGCACAATCAGTTCAATGACTTTTTAATGTTTAATCTTAAACATGGCTAACAAATGCCCATTAATTTATCATCTTATCCACTATGATACATTGCAATAGGAGTTGGGTCATTATACCTACAACTTTCACTTACATTAATGAAATATCTTTCTAATCATTCTGAAAAAAGTCTTTGGTTCTCTAAAATAAGCAAAGAGGTGATCAAGGAGCAAAATTTACCATTAAATTGCACTTTAGTATATTAACAATGTTTCCCAGAATTTGTTCTATTTTTCATTTCTCAAGTCTAAAAGATGGTAGGATAAATTGACAAAAATATGTATACCTGCATAGGTGGTGACTGTGTCAAATTTTATTATTGCTGTTGGTGGTCAATAGAAATTGTTACGGTGTGATGTGACCTAAATACACTGGATTTGGGATCTCCTCTAGATCCTTCAGGTCCTTCAGAGGCTGTTTTTCCATTCATATAGATACTTACTGAATTAGCCTTTATGAATCTCATGCCATTGAGTGGTTGCTGCTTTATAAAAGTGCAAGAAGAGGCCCCTGCATAGAACTTTCAATTTAGATGAGAAAAAATAATAATTTACATAAAGATGCCAGTTAGCCTGACACAGTGTCTGCATAAATGTTTAGGGGGAAAAAAAGTAAGACAGGCATCCTAGGTGGGAGAGTGGTTGAAATTGACCAAAAAAGGCCTCTTGGAGAAGGTGAGTCTTGAAAGAAGTTGACAAACTGATGTAGGGTGGAAGGAAGGATGCAGACAGAAGAAATATCTATTAAATAGGGAATCAATGCAAAGATGTAACTCTTCATCCGTCCATATTTATCCATTTGCAATAAAAAGCAAATTAATTAGGCCCTAAATTCACAATGCCTTACGTACTATAGAACCCCTATTTTATTTCCTTATTTGATAATTTACCCACATATGGCATATGTAAAAGAATGGTATATGCAAAATTTATTCTAAATAAAATTAAACTTTTCAAGTTGTTAGAGGCATCTTTTTATACTTGGTTGTGCAAGCAATTGACTTGTTTTCGTAGAATCAAGAAACAAAATTACGAAAATTAATGAACAATCCTAATAAGAAAGGCATATTCATGAGCGTCAAAAGGAAAAGGCTGGGCTTTGTTGCAGCTGAAATTTGGTTTATTGGCATTTCAGTCCACTTTACATTAAAGTGTAAAAATGTACTCCCTTGCTCTGTTGTCCCCACAGACATCAAGCCATCCCTCTGCAACCCACACGCAGACAATGGAAGCACACCCGAATAACAGAAGCAGAAATAATTTAAACAAGCAAGATGCACACAGCTGTTAAGCCAGACTTTCTACTCACCAAAACCTTTTCTTGTGTTCAGTTTCTCATAGAACAATTATTTCATTTAATCATTGCCTTCGAAGACCTTTGCAACCCTTTCTAGGATCTAAACCCTTGTGGGATAGAAACTGAAAAATAAATGCATGCACAAGAATTATTTTTCAGTTTCTATCCCACAAGGGTTTAGATCCAGAGCAAAGAGTACAAAAATAAGTGTCTGCCTGAGCAATGTATGCACCAGAATATTTTGCGCATACATTGCTAAGCTCTAGAGTCTTTGGAAAGTATAGGAAAATTGAGTTTAGGCTCCAATGCACCCAGTCTGCATGCCCTTGGTATAATTTCCCTCATCCTAGTACTTCTTTGGTGTCTCCTGCATCTACTCCAATGAAACAATGGTTATTTCTGCAATAAGGGTAACCAGTAGAGGAAATAAACCACCAGAATGATGGCCTTTTTATTGGCTATGTTCACACTAAGTCCTGAAAAAAATATCATTTATGAGTTCATTTAGAAGAATTGCCTTCAGCATAGGGGAATATAGAGAAGAGCATCCTTATAGTAAACCCTGAATAAGTAAATGGTGAGGGGCCAGGTAATCATTCCTCAAAATTTCAGTAGCAAATAAATCATTTTTGTCTTTTGAATCTGTGATTAGTTATTTGTTTTGGTCAGTCTTACATTTTTGGTCAGTGATACACAATTCACTCTGCTATCTCAGCAGTGAGGAAAACCTTGTTAACTTGTGGGCAGGGGACCTTTCTGTAAGGTTGAATTAAAACTCATTTGAGGATTTAAAAAAATCTTTAATAAGTCTGTTCTCCAAGAAATGACATCTGTCACAATAGGCCTAAGGTTAGACAAGCTGTGTCTCATTTAACATATTTTGCTACCTGAATTCTGTGACAATGCAGTACCCTAAAAAATCTCTGAGATATCACAGGAGTTCATTGTTCCCTTGATTAGTCTCTCTCTCTCTCTCTCTCTCTCTCTCTCTCTCTCTCTCTCTCTTTCTCTCTTTTTGAGACTCTCACTCTGTCGCCCAGGCTAGAGGGCAGTGGCACAATCTTCACTCACTGCAACCTCTGCCTCCTGGATTCAAACTATTATCCTGCCTCAAGCCTCCTGTGTAGCTGGGACTACAGGTGTGTGCCAACATGACTGGCTAATTTTTTGTATTTTTAGTAGAGATGGGGTTTCATTATGTTGGCCAGGCAGGTCTCGAACTCCTGACCTCATGATCTGCCTGCCTCGGCCTCCCAAAGTGCTGGAATTACAGGTGTAAGCCACCGTGACTGGCCAAGTTACTCTTTTAATTGTCTATCTGAAATTATCTGCATATTAACTTGAAGATGTGTTTGGAACTAAGGAAAATTTATATTAATGGCCTTTGGGAAGGAGGGTGAGAGTGGAGTCCAGAGTCCACTGTCTCCTATTGAAGCTTTGCTGGCATTGTAGCTGGAGTCCTGGAATTCCCTGGGGTGCTCTGATGTAAGTTTAGGACTTTCTCTCTCTCTCTCTCTCTCTCTCTCTCTCTCTCTCTCTCTCTCTCT